CCCCAAAACCCCAAAACCCCTGATTTCATAAATATAGTAAGATAAGCATTTAATTTAATTTGTTATTATTAAAATTAAGGACAAAGTTCTTATAAGTTTCTATTGTTTGTGCAGAATTAAAAAAAGTATGAAGGAGCACAGATTCATTCATTCAGTTTTCATTTGGAGTTGCTGTTTGAGTCGATTGTATTTCCACTTGGGGACTTCTTGAGAGATTTGTTGCTCTTCTTCTTTTTATTCTTTTTCTTTTCGGCTTTCTCTGCCTTTTGGTCCTTTTACTGTCTTAATAGTGGCTCTTCCTCTCTCAATAGTGACTATATAAAAGATAAAATCATATATTATAACTACCTATTTAGTTCTGAATACTTTGATTCCAAGAATCCTTGTCATTTCATCGATGACACAAATAATATAATGCCATTGAGCGAGGAATGAGATTCCTAAGATTACCAAGAAAAAGACGTACTAATTGATATTTTTCCTATAAATGTATATTAATAAATTAAAGATTTACTTGAAAAAGATTGAAGTTGCAATGAAAAGAGTAAGGGCTAATATATTCATTAAGAGTGTTCTAGTCCATGGATTGAACTTTTACTTGCTCACATGGGATACTTGAATGTGGATTGTATTATGAGAGTAGACGATTGTGAATAATAGGACAGGTATCAAGGGATAATTATCGATAATTGGATTCTCCTAGCATATTGAGGCATAGAGAACAAGCCCCCATAGTAAATAGAATGCAATTATCTATTATATAAGTTCTGTATAAACCACTTCCTCACCATGATCCTCCTCACCTTCTTGCTTCTTCTTTTTTCTCAAGATACATATGATACTAAAAAATGTCATCATCAATCTTGATTTACGTACTTATAGAGGGATGCCAAAACTTGACTACCTAAGGTCATCCAGGCAAGGATATGAATATATTTCATTGTGATTTCCTGATCATTCATGTTGAAAGAAACTGTTTTCTCAAAAAATGCACTATCTGTAAAAGCTTGAAGGAGAAAGAGAGCAATCAACAGCACTGAACCGTCTGTTACTCCATTTCCTACACCGAGATAAAGGCCACCAATGTAGTACTCTTCGAGGGTGCAGAAATAAAAAGATTGACCTACTGCACCGACTCCTAGCAATATCAAAATATTGTTCCCATTTTGAAGGCATTTAAGGATCGTAGCAGTGAAAAGAGTTGCGGTTATTGAGTCGCATCCATGATCAAATAGGAGACCCAGAGGAGAAGAATTACCTGTTTTTCTAGCTTGCTTACCATCCATCTCATCTAGTATCCTATAGATCAGATAGGAAATTGCGATAGCTATATGGAACCAGATGGGGATCTTTCCAGAGAAATCAGTTCCATAGGCACTGAATAAAACGATAAAAGGGATAACATTGAACATGAATCCAATTAAAGTAATCTAAATTTGTATATTGATAAACTCAAAGAATTCGTACCAGATTAGGCCTATAAGAAGATGATTACATAAAAAATATATTGATCTTACGCAACAGTGTCTGGAAGGTAGTCCACTAACTTAAGTGCCAAAGGATTGTAAAAGCATCTGTATGCTATACCACTATCACCACCGGCATATTTGTATGTCTTTAGTTTTTGAGCAGCATCTTCAGATATGTAGGGGGTAAATCCATTAAAGATCTTGAATGAAAACCTATATGATGACGAAGTCATTTTCAGAATTTTCTGAGATTCAATATAAAATATTATTAGATAAAAATAAATAAGGGATCTTTATTTAATTCTACTAATAAATGACATAAAATTAGATTTACTTCTAATGGGGTTTTGGGGTTTTGGGGTTTTGGGG